CCTCTCATGCTTCTCATGCATTTAGCCTCTGAAATTCGAGCTTTCTGCTCTCCGCTTTTTCCTTCTCTCTCTCTCTCTCACACACACACACACACACACACACACACACACACACACACACACACACACACACACACACACACACACACACACAATTTTCTTACCTCTTCTTCTTTTTCTCTTTACTTCCCGTATATCCCGGTTCGAAATCCTCTGCCAAGAGGGCGGGAGCTTCTTTCATTCACGTCAAAAGTCCTTATCCATTAAGACAAATCCAAGGTAAAGGAAGGAAGAGAAAGAAAGAGACAGAATTCGCCTCGCGAGTATCGATGGCTACCCGAAATCATACGATCGGAAAATTTTGCCGTGTGGACCGCGATACACATCGAGGGCTTATCTTCGCTTGATTATTCGCGCGTTAGTGCGATTATACTCGGCGTGCAGGCTTCGCCGCGTCTCTTTCCATAATTGGGACACGAGGGAGGAGCGGACTCGCGAGGGAGCGTTTTTAATTAACGAATAACCGTGGGCACGTCCCGGAGACAATGGCTCGTGAAAGCTCTCCTACTAGGAAAACGAAGCGATCGGATCGGCGATCAGGTGATTAGGTTGCGTTCGTGACTTTCCTCCGACGAGTTTCGCGCGCCACCGTTGCTGTGTTGTGTGTAAAAGAGGCGAGAAAGAGTGTCGTAATCGGCGCGGTGCCGCGTATCGATTTTATAGAGGAGCGCACCGTTGCGTGGATACGTACGTTGACCTACCGTCCAGTGACGCAAGGTTGTCCACCGATGCGACATTGACAATGGTGTGAACAGGTAGGTCTAACGAACGCGCGTCGCCCCGTGACTTCCTGCTCCGCCTATGTCGTAGGTCCGTATTCTCGCCGCGCGATTTAGGGGTCGGATGACGCGGCGGTTTAAAATAGAACTCGGAATTAACGAGCGTCTAGTAACAACAACGCCCCGCGGGAATTATGAAATAGAATTCGAAATTGAACACGTTGTGATATGCGCATACATTCGTCTCTCGTTGAATACGATGAAGAAGCGCTCCTGCGCGATTTAACGCGCGTGAGATCAACCCACGTGAACATGATCTATCGGAGATAATTTACCTTGACGTTGGGAGGGGGATCTAATAAAGTAAACGAAACTTAAACATTACATTCGGATCAATTTGGTTGTGCAAACACGTGACTGTTGGTAAAAGTTTGCCGAGTTTGTATCGCGTGGCTATTAAGGAAGAGGCGTACCAAAGTTCTGTTAATTGGAGTCTCATTTTGCCGGGAGGAATCTTGGCTCGCCCAGGTGGGAGCCTCGTGGCTCTATCGGACCTATTTTCCATTGTCGAGTGCAGTCGACGAGGACAACGAGGTGGAGGGGGAGGCGGAGGTGGAGGTCCGTCGCAACGAGCTCTCTTCATCATCGCGTCGACGCGATATCGCGTAGGTTCTTGACCGCGTTTCTTATGCAACCGTGATTTTTTTTCCTCCGGGATCCAGGGTCGCCCTCCAATTAGACATCGATGTGTAATTATAGGCTCGCGTATAATTAGGAGCGGGCTTGGCCGGCCTAAGAATACATCGATTTCTGTCACTGCGCATTAGCCGCGGGGGTCGCCGCGCCGTTCGTCCCGGTGTGGAGACGATCCCGACGGTAAATTATAAATCGCCCGTAATGAGTGCGCCGCTCGAAGACCGTTACGTGCTTACAGTTATTTCTCTCCGTGGCCAGCAACGATATCCTTTTTGCGGATCGGGATCGGGATTCCCCCCCCGCGTAATCCACTTCGGACGCGCGTGTCTCTCGGACGCGGAAACGCTCGTCCCGAGACTAATTTCTCCCCTCTCTCTCTCTCCCCCTCTTTTTCTTTCCAGCGGGTTTTCGCGAAACGATCGTTTCCCGACGCGAGCGCACCGACGACGACGACGGTGCCGCGGATACTTAGCATGCGCATCATCGTGCCACATTTGCAGCGAGGCGAATCTATCGGGCTCCATTGTTCGACGCTAACGAGACGAGCTTTAATTATTCCCGCATTGTTTTGCAAAGCCGTCTCCAGCCGTCCGATTATTTCTGACGCTCCTTGGTTTTCCGCGCGCCCGCGTTATTTACACGCGAAAGCGCGCCGCGACGACACGCGTCGTCGATATCTCTCCGTTTCTTCTTCCTTCGTTGCTCCGCTGGCCTGATTCCGTTTGGCCGTGAAAAAAAAAACCGCCTCGTTCACTATTCACCTCGCGTCGAGACTCCCTTTTCTCGAAACCGACTGACATTCGAAGCCGATTTTCTCACGGGGATAACGAGAACGACTCGTTTTCCGCGTGGACACGCACGACGACGAATCAGACGTTCGCGAGAAGCGATTTCGAAAGAGGGAGAAAGAGAAAGAGATATCACAAAAGGATGAGATACGACGCGAGGAAGATAAAGCGTCGTATCGTTGTATATCTGTCCGGACGTTAAATATAGAGGCACTCTCCGTCGCGCCATCGAGATCCCGACGTTAACGAACGGACTCCAGCGGTGAACGAGAGCGGGGCTCTCGTCAGAGTCGTAATCGCCCGCGGCGTCGCTTCTTCGGTGCGCGCTTATCGGCCGCTTATCGCAGACTCTCGCGGCACGCACACGTGCGGCGCATCCGCACACGTGTCCGAGTATCCAACACCAACGCGCGGCCACTTCACGCCGGGAGCCACCCACGTCAACGCTTTGTCTCCGATTACTGAATCGTGTGTGTTTAGTCTTTGTGAGCGAGAGAGACGGGAAAGGAAAAGCGAAGACGAGGAGTCGCCCACGGTGGACGAAAATGGGCGCGACTCTTCGGCACGCAACGAAAAGATGCATTATTATCGAGCGGAACATCGGAGTAATTGAATGACGAAGCGCGACGAGAACCGTCAAAGGTAGCGGGGCCTCGCCCGTATGCGACAGAGAGAGAGAAAGAGAGGGGGGAGAAAGGGAGTGCACAGAAAAAGAACATGCTAGAATCAGATAAACGTAATTGTCTGTTTTCAACCTCTCAAATCAAGTGATATTTGTTATTAATTTTAGTTATTTTAACCCTTTAATTACGAAGGGCGTACACACAGAAAATCGTGCTAGATTCAAGTAAATAATTACTCCCATACTCCTTAGTAAATTTTTACTTGGATTAAGTAAATATTATTTAAACGTAACGGGAAAGTGCTGCATTCAAATAATATTTACTTAATCTAAGGAAAAATGTGCTGAGTAGTATTGGAATGATTATTTACTTGAATCTAGCACTTCTTTGTCTGTGTATATCCTGGGAAAATTTACTCATTTACAAAGAGTATATGCATGTCCAATGAATTTGGCCTAACGTTAATTTTTTTACTGAAATGTCTTTATAAATATTAATATTTATAATTGTTACGTATTGCGTAGTATTGATAAAAATAAATGTATATCACGTCATACATCGGACGTGTAAACTACGTGCTCAGTGTTTAAGAAGATCAGTTTATTTGATTTTTGTGGTGCAACGCAGTAATCGTCTTGCGACAGTCGTCCCATATGAAGCAGACGCTTGTCATCCGAAGTGCGTAGTAGCTGAAAGGTTAATAACTTGTGGTAAATATTTGAACGCAATAATATCTTAATTTATTAATGAATTGAGCTGAATACAAGTGCAAAATCATTCTAAATTTAAGAGAGTATTTTTTAAAATTATATGATACTTCTTATGTATTGAAAAAATATATTGGTTTTAAATTTTGACTTTTCTGTTTATATTTCTGTAAATATTATCTAAAAGTAAATTCTGATATTCTCAATATTATGAATTTAATACTTGTTGCAATTGTTTTAGCACATACAAGTAAACATTTATTCATACGAGAGAAATATCATATTGTATATAAGGTGTTGAAAAAAAGTATGCCACATTTTAGGAGTGTGTAATAAAGGTGAAAACAAAGAAAAAGGTCTAAATAAGCAGTACAGCTCCAAAAACCATTTATTTTCGAGTTACAAAGCAATTTTCTGCTGTGAACACACAACACGAAACCAGATACTATCAACAATTCGTCGTTTCGAAGCTGAACAAAACAGTGATAATCAATGTGGACGGTCGTATAGGGGCGTTCGTGGACGAAGTGATACAGAGAATTGGAAACTGTTGTAAACAAACGCATGTTTACGCAATACGCATACCGCATGCCGACGATATTACTCGTCGACATTAGGAGCTTGTGTGGAACGAGTGCGGCCGTTTGCAAATATGTTACAGGACGCGTATTCGAAATGAATTGAGGGCACATCGAATATCTGTAGATTAAATCTACCTTTTATTTTCCATAGCAGAAAATACTTTTTAATTAAAAACAGTGATTTCTTAATATTGCTTATTAAGATTTCTTTGATTTGTTTGCACGAGTATTACGTACTGCCAAAATTTAGTACCATCCTTTTTCTTTGTACAATAACACCCTGTATAATCAATTATATTTCTACATAAATATTTGATAAAGAGTAACCATTTTATTTGGATCAAGTAAGTGTTACTTGAACGATAGTCTCTGTTCCCGTAGAAGCATCAGATAGAGGTTTTATTTTCGCGACGACCTACAATGGACAGCAGCGAGGTTGCGGGTCAGTAAATAGATAATTATTTCCCGAAGCGAGAACGCCGATGGATAGTTTCGCCCGGCGAAGTTCGCGAGACGAGAGGCTACGGCCCGAGGTCTCTCGCGTGTTTCTTTTTTCGTCTCCTTAATAGACAGGATGCTCGGTAAAGGAGAGTCGGACTATAATTATGAATTTCACAAGCGCCCCGCATAAAGTCGCGAGGGGAGTTGCGTGACTGTTGTCGCCGGCTCGTTCTCCGCCGTCTTTCAGGAAGCGCCGCTGGAAATATATCGAATTGCAAACTGTAAATCTCCGTGATGCGCCGTCCGTCTTTAATCGCATCCCCGGTGATAACTCGCCGATTGTCCGAGCGTCTTTCTAACGAGCCGCCGTTCTTTCTGATTACAGAGTCCTGGAACGTTGCACAAAGATGTCGGCGGCGCTGGTACGAAGGTCAGCGAGAAAACGGTCGGCGGTGTCGGCACGGCGACCCTCACCACGCTCTCCTCCATTAATAACGCATCCAACACCGGCCGAAACAAAAACAACCCCGTATCTCACGAGGTAAGGCTACGGGGGANGGTAAGGCTACGGGGGAGGCGAGTTATCTCCCCCTCCCCCCCCCCCCGCGTATTGATCACCGCCGGGCGATACGTCATCCGGGACCGCAGATGACTTCGATAATTAACCGGTCCTGCGCTTGAATTTATTGCCCATTAATCTGTTTGCATTCACCGGGCGCGCCGCGAGGAATCGGCCCGGCCTTTCCGCTTCGGGATATCACTGTGTGAGTAGGCGGATGTACGTATACGCCCGGATCTCTGTTGGTGAGTCTCTGCGTTACACCCGCTCCGTTCGTCCGTCCGTTTGTGTGCTCGCACAGGCACATGACATTATTCAGTGCATGACTTATTGGACGCAGCGCGAAGTACCGTTTACTGTTTAGTTCTACTTCTACCTTTGTCGCTCGGCCTGCTCGCGCAGAACCGCCACCTTTCGCCCGATGAAGGAGTTCAATTGACGAAAATATCTCCCCGGACTTCCCCGTGATACTTTGATAAGCTCGACTCTCTTCGCCGGCAACGTGTAATTTAGACACTTTCCGTCGGCAACTTCGAGCTTTGAGGGCCGAACCGTGTGAGAATCGTGAAAAACCGCGACGAAATTCTCGTACTCTTGTGCGAAAGTTTTCTTTTGGTAAAAATTCGACGTTTACCTCTGCGATTCGTATGGAGAGGAAAAGCGCAATTAACCGCAATTGAACGTCAAGCAGCATCCGCGAACGGGACCTCGCCGTTACTTTAACGCCTTTGTTCGTCGCGAAAGCGGAACCCGCGAGAGATAAAAAAAACCCGTCACTGATGACGCGATCGGGAATCGTTCGCACGCGTCGGCTGTTATCATCCACGTCTGCGTGCGCATTACAATGTGTACGCGGGCCGTGCATGTAGGCTTTTATTGGCCATTGTTGATGTCGAGGAAAATTGCCGGCGCGACGCTCGTGCTCTTTCTCTCTCTCCCTCTCTCGCTTTCTCTCTCTCTCTCTCTTCTTCTATCTCTCTATCCATCTATCCATCTGTCTATCTCTCTTGCTCGCTCGCTTGCGTGTGTATTTATCGAGTATTCACATAAATTTATAGAGTTAGAATTCGCCTCGTTCCTATCGCGGCGATCGGCTCCGCCGTATTTTTATTAACGGTTTTATCGGGGATTTACGGGGCGACGAGAGAATTGCCGTCGTCCTGAGAAGAAGGAGAGAGAGAGAGAGAGAAGGAGAATCAACCTCGCGACTCGCCCGCGACGCTACTCGGATGGAACTAATTGAAAATTGTTGCCGTCGGCTACCTGTTAGGTCGCGATAAATCGTGTCTTTGGCGTCGGCAGCACCGCTCTCGTACCTCCTCTCTCTCTCTCTCTCTCCTTGTCGCTACGATTGTCTTGTTCCATTGCGGTTTCGACGGAGGGCCGCGAATGGGCTTGAAAACGGCACGGAGCGGTACTCAATTTCTTGCGCTCGATTTCGCCGTTCCGCGACGCGCGAAACTGCCGTCGTGGAATCATCGTACGGATCGCCGGCAAACCTTGCCGCATCGAGGTGGGTGCAATTATAGAGGAGAATTCTGCCCGGACTGGAGTCGATACCCTTCGATACGTACACCGTAGAACGAAGGCCGATTCTATTGTAAACGAATTAAAGCCGTCCGATGCAGCCAATGAGCCACTTTCGTCGATTCGCTCCGAACGGATCCGGTCGTTTCACAAACTCGCGTTTGTTAATACCGACGACCTTGCGCGATATCGTCGTCGCGTCCGAAGCGCTCGATCGATTTGTATCCGACGCGCATAAATCGCGTCACGTCGCGAACGAACGCTCATTATGGGGATGCCATACTTGAAAACTTTATCGACAGAATACTGATGTTTCGCGGTCTCATCGGTTGCACAGAATTATAAATGCTTTAAAACAGTGAAAATACGCGCGAAAACGGATTGGAGCGCTGCTCAATGTGTGACGGAAACTATTAAAAACTTAAAAATTTACACCTCTAATTCTGTCAGTAAGAATTAATCACTGTCAAACTTTTGGTGTCACTTTTAAATGGAATGCAAATCAGTTTGTAATTTTTTCATTATCGTATCACTTATTTTTCATGTTTATACATATATTATTATTATTCATTATCATTATTATTCGTATTTACATATATTTTGTCACCACTTACGGGAAATATATTCTTAAGAGCGACGAGGGAAGATCGCGCGGTCCCGATATCGTCGCTAGTTTAATTCGTTTTGAACCGTCGCTAAGTCACTCCGCGCACCCGCTGCGGCCTCAATTCCGCCGTGCCGCTTTGTTTCTCGCACCTCTGCAGCAGACAGAAATCGCCACGTCACCGGGCGTCGTTTGTCTCCTTAGCGCTGTCCCGCTTTTTTTCCCGCGAGTTCATTACGTGACCGAGACGATCGAATTTCATTGCGCTCGCCGTTGCGCAACCGCGCGATCGCGATCTTTCATGCGCGTCGCGGTTTTCAGGAACGTGCACACGTGCTCGTACACATGTACAGTGGACGGACAGACGGGCAGACACTCGAGAAAGGAAGAATGAGAAGGAGACTTGTGTGCGAATGCATGTATGCATAAAGAAAAACTCGGAGGATTGCAGCCTCGAGCTTAATGGGCTTGTAATTAGATGCACCTCCGAGAGAAAGAGAGAGAGAGAGAGAGAGACGGACACACACGCAACCCGTACACACGGTGCACCGTTACTTACAGCGCTGTCGCACGTGTGTATTACGGTGCGGTTTATCAGGCTCTCTCGGACTAATTCATACGTGAATTTTAGAAAGTCCGGCGCTGGATTTGCCGCTAATTGTTGTAGCTCTTGTGCAACCGCCAACGCGCTCTCTCGCCTCCTCGTGTCCCTCTTTCTCCATCGTAGGGTCATTCCGCAAAACGAACAGCGCTCATTAAAGCCGGCCCGCGGATCGACGCGCTTTGCTCGTCGTTGTTGCTACAGCATTTAGCGCGGCCGTCCTCGTGTACCTTCTCAGCGAGTTTCCCTCGTTGTTTTTCGCTAATTTCCCGAAACGTAACTTTCCGCTTCTCCTCCGCGGCGAATTCCCCCCTTACACGTTATCCGGAGACTTATAGAAATTACCATCGCCCCCTTCGTCGTCTACTGCGCGCTTCTCACATCGGCGCTCCTTCTATATTTACGAATAATGTCACTCATAGCGAAGCCGTTGAATGGAAACATCCGTGTCGGGACGTTGACAATAAATATTGATCGTCGGAGAGTCCTACGAGGATAAGCCGATAATAAAAGCCCTTCTTTGACGATGCCGGGGGATGTCTTGGGCGTAAATGGCTCGTGTAGACGGTGCCCTTTCCGGAACGAGACGTGACTCACGTCTCTTCGAGGCATCGCCGAGTGGTGTGGCGCAACGAAGATAAGGCCGCGCTACTCACAATACACCGAGAGAGAGAGAGAGATCGTTATAAAGAACGGCTAATCGGAAAGGCGACGATTCACCGGTGCGCTGGGTACACCCTATAATTTCATACTACATTTCTCAAAGCCGTTATTAAGGAGGGAAATTACTCACCGCAACCCACGCGAGCCCCGTGTGCACGTGTAAGAACTGTAAAAGTCACTTAGTGGATGTTTTCGTACAATCTGCGATGGTTATAAGACGATTTAATTAGCGTTCAACAGAAATCGGTGGTCGGCGCACTTCTCGCAGCGATGTCGTGTTTCGCGCGGATTTCGCTTACGTAAAAGAGTCGCGATAAATCCATACGCGTAACTCGCCGGATAGGTTTACGGCCCTCGCGGGATTTGACTCGCGGAATGACGAAGACCGACGTCACAAAGGAATCCAATACGACAGGTCGTTCGATCGGAGCGTCGAGTTGCGTTCGCAGCGTCTGCCGGATGAATGATCGCCGTCCCGATTGCTCGGTGTCAATCGATTTCGTTATTTTTCCCGCGAGTATACGGCGTTGCGCTCCGGTCCTACGCGCGAGTCTCGTGTGCGTGCTTTTGAAAATCTCTCTTGAAAATCTCGCGAGAAATGCCGCGAGCATACCGCTGAAAAAGCGCGCTCGATCGTGTCAATCAGAGGGATGTTAAACAATCGCGCGTAATCCAGTTGGCTGAGTTTCGTATATACAAGCGAGACGCGATCGATCGATTGTTTTGAATTCCTCGTTGACATGCGTCAGTTACGTCGCTGATTGCTCTAATCAATTACGGTGTCCCGTTACGTGCACGGATTCCGCGTCGTGTGTATCATATTCGCGGTAACGCGTATGTGGAAATAAATTTCGTCGTGCCGACAGTACCTCCGTCCGTAATCAAACAATTGCACGCGAGTCGAATGTAACGCATACGTTTTTCCCCGCTCTACGGTAATAATAGAGATCGGGAACCTCATTCTGGACGCGTATCGAACCCTGATTGTGTTTCTCATTCTCGACTCGGAGCAATGTTACAAGTGACGCTCGTGTACATCTTTCTCTCGTTGAGAAATCGAGTAAGCACCGATTCGATGAAACGCAATGCCTTTTGAGCGAGAGAAGGATCAGCGGTTGCTCAATTCTATTACATTCAATTCGACAGTTTTCTCGTATGAGACGATAAAATGTTTACTCAAACAAATCATATTTCGTATCACGTTGTTTCGGTGAAGTAAATTCTAGCCGAATAAATAGAAACGCTAAATCTAAAGGAACCTTTTCCTCTGTGTAATCCACGATCTTACGACTTATTCACACATGTGCTTAGAATTGCAGCTGATTAATTCGAAACCGGGTTTCTCGCGGGAGACACAAGTTTCGAGTAATTGCTATTGACACGGGCTTACCGTTCGATATTCGCATCCAGAATAGCGTCCCGGGTCTGCGTTTACAACACAGGTCGGCAATTCGCGCGGAAATCTGTTTCGATTTGCGGGAAGAGTCATTTCGCGCGCGCGCTATTTTCGCCACTAATTTTCCCATTATTCTTTCGGCAATCATCGCGCGGTGCGCGCGACGACGATTAATTCATCGCCGGTTTATT